AGCATCGACCCATGCACCAAGAAGTTCGATTCCCGGTCAGGGCACATGCTTAGGTTGTGGGCCCAATCCCCAGTGGGGGGCACACAGGAGAAGGAAAAATGAGTGCCCTAACCACCAGCAAGGAAAACTAGGGACTTCTGCTCCATCCAGCCGCTACTGGCCAGACTTAGGTTTCAAGATCACCCAAGGCAAACGAATGTTAGGGGCAGAGAGGAAACAGGCAGTCTGCGCCATTCTGGTTTCCACCTCCCGCGGACAGATTCGAGGATTCCTGGGAGCAGCAGGGGTCTGTGGAGTATGGATCCCCGGATTTTCAGAACTGGCAAAGCCCTTGTATGAGGCCCTGAAAGGAGGAGAATAGGCGCCCCTTGTCTGGGGCCCCAGTCGAGAAAGCATTCACCAAGCTCATGTAGGCAGCAGCCTTAGGACTCCTGGACGCCCCTGGGAGTCCTAACCCAGGAATGCGGGCCTTGGCAGAGACCAGGAGCTTTCCTTTCAAAGCAAATAGGCCTGGTTGCAGCAGGCTGGCCGGCCCCCTCCCCGGGGAGGAGGAGATGGTGTTTCCCGAGAAACTCAACAGCAGCATCCTGTCTGGTTTGGACACCCCCGCTAGACTGTGGAACCGTTTGCCTGCCTTTGGGGAGACACTGCTGCTAGAGCTGGAGCAGGACCCGGGCGTGCGGGGTGAGGGGCTGGCAGTGCAGGACCCGGGCCAGGCACCTGAGCTGCTGGGTGGGCGGAGCCGAGCACCTACCTCAATGGCACCATCAACAGAGATCCAGAGTTGGTGGCATTTCTGTACTGGGCCGAGGGAGCCCTGTTAGGGGTGCTGCAGTACTGGGGGACCAAGCTCCACATCCAGCCCCTGGAGGGAGGCACCTTTAACTCTGCAGGGGGACTTGGGCTCACATCCTACTCCGGGGTCCCACCAGCAGCCAGGGCCCCAAGTGCAGTAAAAAGACTCCTCCTGGGAACCCCAGGCCCAGCCCCCGAAAGTCAAGCGCTTTGCTTCCCTGAGTAGATTCGTGGGGACCTGGTGGTGGCAGATGACAAGATGGCAGGATTTCATGGTGCAGGGCTGAAGCGCTACCTGCTCACAGTCACGGCGGCCGCAGCCAAGGCCTCGAGCATCCGCAACCCTGTCAGCTTGGTGGTGACTTGACTAGTGGTTCTGGGGCCAGGAGAGGTGGGACCCAGGGCCGCCCAGACCCTGAACAGCTCCTGTGCTTGGCACTGAGGACTCAACTCCCCTGTGGACTCAGACCCACATCACTTTGCTGTTTACCCGTCAGGACCTGTGTGGGGTCTCTACCTGTGACACCCTGGGCACGGCTGACGTGGGCACTGTGTGCTCCATGTGTCGGTCTGAAAGAGCCTGGGAGCACCTCTCGTCATGTCACGGCTCCCGTGATGGCTCCCGAGGAGCCCTGGTCCCCCTGCAGTGCCCACTTCCAATGGCCACGGGTACTGTCTCTTAGACAAGCCAGAGGCTCCCCTGCACCTGTTTGTGACTTTCCCTGGCAAAGACTAGGAGGCAGAACGCCAGTGCCAGCTGACCTTCGGGCCTGACCCACACCACTGTCCGCAGCTGCCGCCGCCCTGTGCTGCCCTCTGGCGCTCTGGGCATCCCAATGGACATGCCATGTGCCAGACCAAGCATTTACCATTAGCCAGTGACACCCGTGTGGGCCCTCTCAGGCCTGCCTGGGTGGCCGCTGCCTCCATGTGGACCAGCTCCAGGACTTTAAGATCCCACAGGCTGGTGGCTGGGGTGCTTGGGGATCTTGGGGCAACGGCTCTCGGAGCTGTGGGGCGGTGTCCAGTTCTCCCGGGCCTGCACCCAGCCCAGGAAGAATGAGCACAACAGGAGGGAGGAAATATAATGAAGGAAGGATGGTGGATCCTCCCAGACCACAGAACCTATGTGCCAGAACAATGAGCCCAGCGGTTAGTCCTCCAACACATGGACTCACCCGTCTGGGAAACACCGCCCTAGAAGCCTTATTAAGCCAGTACTACCTGACTGCTCGACTTGCTTCCCTCTGTGCCTCGGTCTCCCAACGCTGTCTCCTCTGTGCTCAGAACAATGCCAGGCAAGGCCAGCCACCCTTTGAAGATCTAGAGGTAGACTTCTCGGAAATAGGACCCAGCAGAGGAAATAAGTATCTCCTGGCTTTTATCTGTACTTTCTCCGGCTGGGTCGAAGCTTACCCCACACGTACGGAAAAACCAAAGCTCTGCTGAGAGACATCATCCGAGATCTGGAATGCCATTGACTCTAGGATCAGACGCTGGCCCAGCCTTCATGCAGAAATAGTCCAGCAGGTAGCTAAAACTCTAGGCATCCCGTGGGATTTGCACACAGCCTATTGGCCCCAGAGCTCAGGGAAAGTAGAGCGCAGGAATCGCACCCTTAAGCAGACCACGGTAAAACTATGTCAAGAAACCAACCTGCCCTGTACTGATATTCTGCCCCTAGCTCCCCTGCGAGTACGTTGTACCCCTTGGGCAAAGACAGGGTTCTCCCCTTTTGAAATCTTATATGGGAGACCTCCCCCAGTGATCAAATTCAAAGGGGATATAAAAGAACTTTAAAATTTGGGCCCTGGCAGGGTTGGCTCAGCGGTTGGAGCGTCGGCCTGCGGTCCAGAGAGACCCGGGTTCGGTTCCCGCTAAGGGCACGTACCTCGGTTGCAGTTTGTCCCTGGCCCTGGTTGGTCGTGCGGGTGGCAGCCACTCGATGTGTCCCTTTCACGTTGATGTTTCTCTCTTTCTCTCGTCCTCTCTCTCCCTCCCACTCTGTCCGAACAAAAAATGGAAAAATGTCCTCGGGTGAGGATAAAAAAAAAAAAAAGAACTTTAAAATTTGGAAATTCAAGAACAACTATAAGGACTAGGAAAAACCATTCTTGAGGTACATAAGTGGGTAACCAATAGAATACCCAGTTTCCTGGGAATAACTGTGCACCCCAACAGACAAGAAGACCAAGTTTGGATAAAAGATTGGAAAAGAAAACCCCTCAAACCAACCTGGAAAGGGCCCTATTTAGTTATGCTAACCCCTCCCACAGCTCTCAAGGTTGCAGGTCTGAATACCTGGATCTACCACTCACGAGTGAAGGCAGCTCACCTGCCACATGACAACCAACCTGCCTGGAGAGTGACCACCAGCCAGAACAATCCTCTGCAGTGCCATCTCTCAGCCTGCCGGGATCAGTGCAATGCAATGAAACTCCAAGTGAGGGGGAGCTTTGCAAGGCAGCAAATGCTCCAGATCGCTGGACGCAGTCCCATTTATTTGCAGATTGGTACCTCCAGGTCAAAAGTGGATTTAAGTAAATTATTTCCTTGAATACACCCTAGCTGTATCTCTTGCTTTTTACAGGAAGAAACCTTGAAGCCAAAAGATAACAAACGCTTATTCACATGCAAATGAAGCACCCAATATACCTGGGCATGCCAGGTTTCCCTGGGCTAGGATTCCGAGAACGCATTAACACAAGGTTGAGAGTGCTTAACACAAGGTTAAAAAACATTCATCTTCCAACCCCCCCAACCCCACACTGCAGGTCACCCTTAAGAGGACAGCAAAACCTGCTGATCAGTCTATGGCAAGCGCCTGAAAAATAGAGGGCTGTCACCTGCTGGCCTGATCCCAACACTGGACTCTGTATCCTTAGTAGCCTTGCAGGATCAAGCAGACTCCTCAGCAGCAGCAGTATTACAAATAGAAGGGGGTTAGACATACTGATTGCTGAAAAGGGAGGAATATGCCTCTTCTTAAACAAGGAATGTCACTTTTATGTTAATCAGTCAGAAATAATTAGAGATATGGCCCAGCAGTTAAAGGAACAAATACTGAGCATCTTGAGTACTCCCATTAGCTGGTCCTCTCTTCATGCTATTTTTTTTTTTTTTTTAATTCTCACCAGAGGATATTTTTTCCATTTACTTTAGATAGAGTGAAAGGGAGGGGGCAGGAAGAAAGAGAGAAACATCAATGTGAGAGAGACATATCGATTAGTTGCCTCCCACATGACCCCAACCAGGGTCGGGACAAACCGCATCTGAGGTATGTGCCCTTGGCCAGAATCGAACCCGTGACTCTTTGGTCTGGGGGCCAACGCTCTAACCTTTGAGCCAAAGCGGCCAGGACTCTTAATGCTTTTTATAGCTCTCCTGTTTGGCCCTTGTACTCTCAACATGCTAACCCGTTTCATTTCCTCTTGCTTAGAAATAATAAAGCTCCAAATGATGCTTCAAATAAGAACCCCCAACTACTCTCCTCTGGATGGTGATGAGCTCTAGTTGCTGCATCCCTCCCCTTCAGCGCCCCTATTTCAGCAGGAAGCAGTTAGAGAGACCATCGCCCCTCTTCCTCACACGGCACTAAGGGAACTCCCTGTCCAAGGTGTTCTCTAAGTCTGCAGCTTGAGAATCAAGAGGCGGGAATGAGGAGGCAAGCCAGGTGCAGCCCCTTAGGCAGTGCAGGGACCCTGCCCCTGGCTTTTGTAATTCATGTATATCCGCCAACTGCCTCAACTTCAGTGGGACTAGAAGGTCCCCAAATACCCGGAGGCTCATTGTGTATAAAAGGCGGCTGGATTCCGGGCTGGGGCTCAGCCTTTGGAGGTGACTCTGCTGGGCCAACACCGGTGCACATTCAACGGCCCTTTACTAACCCTCCGCGTGCGTGCAGTCTGCCTCTTCTTGCCGACCGAATTTCGGCCACAACAGGTCCACACTTAATATGGTGTTTTTTTTAGAGTAGATAATTTTTGGGGCAGTCTTTGAAATAGTGAAACATGCTGCTCGGAACAACATATCACTCATATTTTCTCTTTCTTTTTAAAATATGGTCCTAAAAGATGATCTGAACCCTGTACTTGTCCATTTTCTCTTTTCACTCCCTAAATGAAATCTTTTCTATCTCCTGATAAACATTATGAACCTGTTTATTCAATAATCGAATTCAAGTTATTAGACATTCAGTTACTCACTCTTTGATGCGCCCACGAAGTTCCTTCTGCCGGAAGTCATGACTACTTACAGAAGACATGCTCCCGCCTTTCTTTGGTGAAGGAGCCATTCTGTCTTTAGCAATGTCTGACATCATCACAACCTATGGAAGAAAACTTTGATTAAAACAGCAGATGAAAGAACTGAAAACATTTTAGTATAACACAGATATCACTCTAAATAAAGTACACAGATACTTCTTCTACCATTTTTGAATAGAGAAATGGGGTTTCCTTCAGAGTGATTTTTTTTTTTTATCCTCACCCAATGACATTTTTCCATTGTTTGTTCAGATAGAGTGGGAGGAAGAGAGAGAGAAACATCGACGTGAAAGAGACACATCAAATGGCTGCCTCCCGCATGACCCAACCAGGGCCAGGGACAAACTGCAACCGAGGTATGTGCCCTTAGTGCAGTGGTTCTCAACCTTCCTAATGCTGCGACCCTTTAATACAGTTCCTCATGTTGTGGTGAACCCCAACCATAAAATTATTTTTGTTGCTACTTCATAACTGTAATTTTGCTACAGTTATGTCTTAGGCAACGCCTGTGAAAGGGTCGTTCGACCCCCAAAGGGGTCGCAACCCACAGGTTGAGAACCACTGCAGGCTTAGTAGGAACCGAACCCTGGTCTCTCTGGACCACAGGCCGGCGCTCTAACCGTTGAGCAACCGGCCAGGGCCAGAGTGATTTTTTTATGTATGCTGTTGTTCTGGTCAGTACAACTGGAAATATGATAACCCTGATAACTTTTATTTATGCAGTAGAATGCTTAATTCACATAAGAAGATATTAAACGGTAGCAAATTGCTTAACTGCAGAAGAGGTTAAGGTCACTGAGAAAACATAGCCATGTATAGAAGAAAGATATTATTCCACACCAGAAAACAATACTTTTTATTGCCCCCCCCATTTATTTTTGATAAAATTTCTGATTAACATTTGCTGTTGTTGCTGTTGAATTTAAAATTAAAATTAACTGTCTTCCCCAAAGGGTATTTTTTTTCCAAGCAACCACGATTTAATTTGTAAAGAGCAAACGGAATTTAACTTTAACTCAGTAATTTACTAGGACACGACCTCCTTCTCACAAATGCTTGTTTAACAGCTGGTAGTAGGAATGGACCTCCCAGAACCTCGACTATAATTCTACTGCCCCATTGCCTACATACACATTTAGATATTCACTTCAATTATTTTATAATCTGTAAACCCGACAGCCTGACGAGGAGACAGAACGAAAACAGAGCTGCTGCCTTTCAGGAGCTGGCGCTGAGTGGCTGGAGGACAAGAACACACCCCGAAACCCCAGTGTGCTTGGTGGCAGGGAGAGACCGAAGCGCACCGGAGGGCGCACGGATATGGCAGAGGTGTGCTGTGTAATTGGAAGGGAGGCAGCGGTGTGTGTGTGTGATTGTGTGCCTGTATATGAGAGTGTGTATATGAGTGTGAGCGTCTTTGAGTGTCTGCCTGTGAGTGTGTCTCTCTGTGGGCATGTGCATGTGTTGGGTTCGAGTCCCCATGAATGTGTGAGGCTGTGTGTATCAATGAGAGTGTCTGTGTACATGAACATAAGTGTGTACGCATGTGCATCTCTGTCTCGATCTGTGTGAATGAGTGATTATCTGTGTGTACCCGAGTGTGTGCCTTTGTGTGTGTGAACCTTTGTGTGTGATGTCTATGTACTGAATGTATGTGTGAAGCTGTGTGAGAGCAACTGTGTGTGTGCTTGTATATTAGCAGTGATATGTGTGTGCTTGTGTGTGTCTATGTGGATGAGTGTGTGAGCATCTGTGTGTTTGAGTGTGTCTATGCGTGGACAGGGCACACAGACCCAGTAAATGGGTCACTGAGGTATCCAAAGGGACACACACAGAACTCTGCTCACTGGTTCCCAAGCTGCCCCAAGGCTGGAGTTGGAACCCGGAGTCCGGGGGGCTTGCAGCTGCCTGGAGTGGCCCAGGAGCGGCCGGGCTGGCGACCGCCGCACTGGGCATCACCATGAAGCCAAGACGTGCGGGTGGGCGGGGGACCAGAGACCAGAACCCGCTTTCAGTTCCCAAATTTGGGGCCACTTTTTTAAATTTGTGGGGCCCGGGAGAGGAGTAAGGCGTCAGAGAGGTCGTGGCCAATGCAGGCAGACCATTTCTTAGCACAGGGCCTTCCCTCCTCAGTCCCTGGGGTGCTCGAACTCGCAGCCTTTCCCTTCCCTGCTCCCGCCCGGATGCTGCGGAGAAGGCACTTACCGGCCGCGGGGCGGGGGCTGCGGCGCGGCTCCGCCGGGGGCCTCCCGGACCTCCTGCTCTTCCGCGCACGGACCGCGCGGCGCGAGGCTCCCTCCTCCCAGGCCTGCAGCCTCCCTCGCCCTCCGACTCCGGGCCTGTCTCCAGGGCGACTCCTCTAAACAGAGCCCTCCGCCCGCCCCCGGCCCGCCCCGGCCGGCACAGTAGCTGCGTGGTCCTCTGGGCCGCCTGAGGACGTCAGAACTGGGCCCGCTGCTCCCCGCGGTGGCCGCCAGTTGGAGGGGAACCGGTTCAAGCCCTTCCGAGGAGGCTGTTGAAACCCAGGATGCAGCCCGGAGTCCTTACCCAGTTCCTTTGGCCTCAGATGTCAGGGGCAGGAGCAGGAAATGCTAGACGCAAAGAGAAAGAAAAGCAACCCCTTCCCTATCCCAGGCTCCTGCTGCTGCTCCCCACCACCCACTCCCAGGCACAGCTGGTGGGTAATAGGGAACATTTATTGAGAGCTTAGATGGCTCAGATATTGGCCAACAGTTTTAGCTTTATTTGGTCTTCCTAACAGCTCTGTCAAAAAGAGTTGTTTTCCCTTTACGGGCTTAGAAAATTGACATTCTCATATTAAACAGTATGCCCGGGCCCCCCTGAAACTCGTCCTATTTCCTGTGCTTTATGAATGGGGTTCCTCCACACCACTCTTCCCAGTCTCTCAAAGTGTAAGAAGCTTTGAAATGGAAGTGGTTTGGGATTGAGGACCTATCTGATGTAACTAATAGACCCTTTCTCCTTAATAACTATCCCCTTCCTAACCCATGACCCCTTCCCCAAACAAAAGCAAATGAAACAAAACTCGGAAGGGATCCTTCCAGTGTGCAGTCCTTTGGAGGTACAAATAAGGTCATGCTTCTAAGCGCCTAGCCTGGCACTGATGGGTGTTCAGTGCAGTTCGCATTAGCTGACAATAGCAATACACTGAGAGCAATAGAGGCCCTAAGGATTATAAGTGTTTGAGAAAGAACATGAAAGTTTTCTGGCCCATTTCAGTCCCTATTCACAGAACAGAAAAGGATTGTTTATTGACTAGCTACTGTGCACTAGGTAAGAAAAGTTAGGGAACTGATAAATATTATCTCTTTGAATCTGTTCAGTGACCTGATAAGGGGGAATTAGTAACTCCATTTTGGTTGTTCTTTTAAAAAAAATTTTTTTTATTGATTTTTTTTTTCCTTTAGAGAGAGAGAAACATCAATGTCAGAGAGAAACACAGATCGGCTGCCTCCTGGGTGCCCCTACTGGGGATGGAGCACAACCAGGTCATGTACCCTGATGGGGAACTGAACCAGGACCTCTCAGTCCACGGGACCATGCTCAATCCACTGAGTCACTCCAGCTGGGCAAGTTTTTGAATTTTAATTAAAAAAAAAATTTTTTTTTTTGAGAGATTTGTTGTTCCACTTATTTATGCATTCATTGGTTGGCAGCTTCTTGTATGTGCCCTGGCAGGAGATTAAACCTGCAACCTTGGTGTATGGGGACAATGCTCTAACCCATTGAGCTACCCCACCAGGGCCTCCATTTTTTTTTTTTTTAAGATAACAAAATGAAGACTCAGGGAGTAACATGCTCAAGTCTACTGTTAAATGATAGAGCTGGATTTGCCCCCTCCAGAGCCCTCGCATGGTGCCAGGCCTTTGCCCACCCTAAACCTGCAATGAAGTTTTCCAGAAATATGGGCGACATTTTAAGAGGCTGGTAATAAAAGAGGCTCACGACTGAATTTATTTTTATGTTTTTCATTTATTTATCAGGAAAAAAAATCACATTTAAACAATCACTAACTCAGATATTTCATCTTGTTCCCACTTTGTTCTGAAATGGGAACCCTAGTTGCAATCATGTTCCATGATAAATAATTGCATATTCAGAATTTTGTGAAATGAGTGATTGGGAAAATTATGCAGGAAAAAAATATTTGTAAAAATTATTCTTTACAAAAAAATGAAAAATGATATTCACACCTTTTCTAACTTATAAGGCAAGTGACATTAGAATGTTCTCCTGATTATCTTCCAAGTCCATGCTACGCCTTCACACCGCTGCGGCTCACCCGAGCACGTTGCTGCAGTTCAGCGAGGGAACAAGCAGCTGCTTCTTTTGCGGGTTTTGTCCTGATCACAGCACAGCAGCCGCGGAGCTCAGCACAGACCAAGCAGTAACGGCCATGAGATCGGGTGTTCTCTGCTGAATTACACAGGAGGAGAAAGAGCCAGGCATTGACATTTCAACTAAATTTAAAAAGTATACTTGAGTACTTTAACCCACAACTCCTTTCATATATATTTTATGCCCAAGTTATTTTGTGAAACTATGTACCCCGTAACAAGGTCATAAATTCAGCTTATGTTTACTTCAAAGATCACGGAGAACTCCAAATGAAGGCTACCACCGACTCAAAGTACAGTATACACTAATAGCATTTCTTGAAGACAATTGACAGAGTTTTATTACCTTTACAAACATAGCAAAATTTCTTAGAGATTCTTTTCCTAGTTTCTCTTATTGTTAAAAAAAAAAAAAGTCATGTCTTACATTGCCACTGTGCAGGCATGAAAATTAAAATTTGATTATTTCATTCATATAGATATTTTCCTGTACAAAGTGAAAAATTAAAAATAATTCTTTTTCTATTGCAATAATAATATTCAAGTAGTTTAAAAAGCTAGCTCTAGAAATTACTGCTTGCCCTGTAGTGAAGACCTGCTCATCAATATATCATCATAACAACACTTGGCTTTTGCAAGAAAAATTATTCAGCAATAATTTTCCAACTTCCTTAGTGTGTGTGTGTGTGTGTGTGTGTGTGTGTGAGAGAGAGAGAGAGAGAGAGAGAAGAATGAGAGAGAGAGAGAGAGAGAGAGAGAGAGAGAGAGAGATCAGACAGGCACCAGTCTCTTTCATGTGTATCCATTTAATAAAGCAAGACTAAATACTGGCCTGCAAAATCAATAGAGCTATAAGAATTATCATTATAGTATCTCATAGGAAAAGAAAAACAATCTGGCTTTGGACTTTGGGACATTGATCCCAAATGACAGTCATTTGGTGCATTATCTAAAATAGTTTAAAGTAAGGATGTATGAATTACACTAAACATGTATTTTGCCAAAAAAAAAAAAAAAGTTAATGAAATAATATACAACTGAACAAGTGAGATGGAATTAACATCTTCATGATGTACTCATTCAATGAAATATTTTAAAATGATAAATAGCCTGTGACCTATCAAGCTTATTCATAAACTGAATGAATTAAAAACTGAACTATATTTAGAGAATGTAATAATTCAGCTTTACTCTTTTCTGACTGAAAGCAGTTTATTCAGGAATTCTTTTAAAAGAACTTCATTGATTGTTTTGTGTAGAAACAGTTGATTTAAAAAATAAAGAAAAGCAATAACAACAAAAAAAATTATGAAATGCTCATTAACAGAGGGTAGAGTCCTGCAAAACATATGCTAAATAGTGCACTCCTCTTAGCTTTAACTAAAATATTTCTTCATATAATTTCTAACAAGATTATTAAAAAATGCTAACATTATATATAATGTCAACATTAATCTATCATGATTCAATTTCTTAAAGCTGTTTAGTAAAATATTACCAAAGATTGCTCATAAGTGTTAAATATTCTGCAAACAATGTGGACCGTCTTCAACAGATGGTGAGCTGATGTAGACATAGGTGCAGATCTTAAAATAATACTTAAAATATTAAAACCATTTCATTGTTTTGTTTTGAATATTTTAGGTAATGAAGTTAAATTCACTATGATGTACTAATGAAATTTAAATTCACTTGAAATGTCAGGAATTTCCCTTTATGTTGAAACAAAAAACCAGAGCATTTATTCAAAGTATTGCTGGTTATAATATCGCCACTTGTTGAAAAGTATGTAAACTGGTGTTAAAAAAAACTTTTCTAAATTTCTTCAAGGTGTGTTTAGGAAGAAAAGTCTTCTCCTGATCCAATAACTTTCTTAAGCTTCATTAAAACACTAACATTCATTATCAATGCCCAAGAAGTGGGGATTATGGCATAGAATCATTTATTCTCAGACCACAATTGAACATTTGCAAGAACCAAACTGAACATGATTTGGAAAATACTGGAATGTAGTAGAAGTATCCTTTACTTATTTTCTTTTAGACGGTAAGGAACACACAAATATATTTGCTTTTCTTTTAAGGTTAAACAGACAATGTATTTAGAACAGGCAATGTATTACTCTAAGGATAGAAAGAGGCAATCAGAAATACTAGAAACCAAAGGAAAATAACCTTGGAAGTTAAACCTAGAGAATAAATTATTATATCCATGGTGTATGTCAACAAGGAGATGCCTTTCTCTCACAGGAATACTCATTTAGGATATAAATCAGATATTAAACATAAGGAACCGTCAAGTGGTCTGCCCATGGCCAACTCAATAGATATTAAAATTTGACATTCCTTCAAGAAGGATATTTAGATTGCAATTAGATATTAAAAATGCAACTCTAGCCTACAAAAGATGGAACATCAAAGCAATGACAAAAGAGAGAAGCTAGTGGTTTTTGTTGTTTTTAATATTTGGAGACTTGGACACTGTACTCCTCTCTCATTTTCCTCCATACATTTCATGCACCAAAAGTAATGTAATGATATGCATGTTTAATTCACGAATGACTGAATGTCATTTAAATGTTATTTGTCAAATGAAAAAGAAAAAAGAAAAGAAAAATATAATTAAGTTTCAGGAGAGAAGTACACACAGTAAAAGGGGGTGGGGTTGGTCATCAGAATAGTTTCTTTATTCACTGTAACATGAATTGATTTGTTCATTTATATCAACAATTTAATTAGACTCATTTCAAGGAAACATGTTTACTTTTAATATTAACTTTTAAAGCAATATCCAGGGATCACCCTCATTTTGATATAAAAAATTATGCTTCCATTAAAAAAAATTTTTAATCAAAAGACCATCTACAAAAGGAGTACATTTGAACTGAGTGGGATTTTGTTCAACTGCATTATCTTCTGGGAAAAAGAAAGCCTAACAAAACACAAACCCACAAACTCGTCTCCTTAGTAGCTATCTGCACATTTTATGGTGTCATTCAGCTTCCATGGATAGCCTATGATTGCTTTGGAAAAAAGGGGGGAAAAGATCGGTGCAACTCTTTTGGAATGACACTAGTCTATGCTTATGAAGCATCCAATTCAAAGGTTTGGACAAATGGGTCAATTTACTAGTTAGATGTCTGAGTTTCCCTTGCAAGGAGGGCGACGTTTATTAGGACTTTGTATTTGGGATTAACCACAGTTTGCAACCTCCCTACTGCTTCTTTTAATCTTTCAAGACTCTGAAGAAAAGGACAGAAACATGAAAAGGAGAGAATGCATTTCAAGCCACTTTGAGACTGAGAGAGCATAATAGGAGGGCTCTAAGGAGAAGAGTGATTTTCTTAGGAAAAAACCCTTTTTATCTTCCTCTCTCTTTTTTAAGATTAGAGGAAGTTAAATGGACTGAATGCAAAAATAAATTCACTAGAAAAATGGTACTCACTTCACAATTTACGTAAAATCTAGTTATGTCAGAACTAAGGACTTGAGAATTCTACTAGGGCAGTGATTCTGAAATTTTGGGTGCCTGTCATACATTTCTCAACCCCATTTCTAGAGATTTATTTATGCAATATAAATTTATTCATATCTAATATCTTCTAGGCTCTGGGGATATAGCTGTGACTAAGCCAAAATCATTGCCCTTTTAAAATAAATGAAAATACAAGTGGTCCACATATCATACTTTGAGAAACATACTTGCCCCAACAATTTTGCTATGAGAATTATCCTGATTTTGATACTAATTTTGCATAGCACCTTTGCCCTGGCCTTCAAGTACAATGTATATAGTAAAAATAAAACAAGAGTTTATATCCCAGAATGAACAAGCAAAAACAGGGGCTTCCTCTGCAGTCAAGGTAACTGGGTTACTTCCAGGTGCTGTGTTGCCTTGGGCAAATTCATTAATCCATCTAGGCCTCAAAGTCACCATTTGTAAAAACAGGAATTCAGAAGAGTATCTAAAATTTTGGGGTTGATATAAGGGTCAAATGAGCTAATATCTATAGTGACCGGTACATGGTAAGCACTCGAGTACATATCAATTTTTATGGTATATTAGTTAATTACTATGATTGTACAAGTATCCTCGTAAAGTCCCCAAAGGTGAATCTATCTGAGTCAAGTAGAGTTATGAAACTTCAGAGGTGGAAGAAATTTTATAGATCATTGAGGTGTTACTATGCTGTTGAAACAGTGCTAGGGGTGGTGAGGGAACCCAGATTGACCCTGCTGGGGGAACTCCTCCACTGTTTTGCCTAAAACGATGCCAAGTGCAGGAAAAAGTCCTGCTGTTAAGACAAGCTTGAAAACCACAGGCAATCCTAACCCCTTACTGTACAGATGAGAAACTGAAAAGGGCGGTAATTTGTCTAAGGTCACACAGCAGAAGTTAGTGTCAGTGCTAATGTAGTTACCAGGCTTCTTTGAAAAGAAGAAATGACAATATGTTTCATTATAGCCTCAAACACTTTGTAGAGGGATATGGAGTAAAAATACATAAACATTTGTAGTTTGACTTTCTGGGCTGTTTTCTATTCACTTGAACCCAGTGGAATGTGGACATTCTTCCTTTGTAGGTGAAATGGATTCCCAAATGCCATGCAGTGAATTATCATTTTGGCTGTAGGTGTAGAGAATAGAGTGTTTAAAATAATTGAACATTTAATTCTCAGGAATTATAAATTCCAGTTATGATAAAATTCAGACTAATTCGTAATAAGAATTTATTTTTAAAAATATCATGAAAATATGGAATTTATTTGAAAAGAAAAACATACTTTCCATTTTGCCAAAATAAAGCAGTATCATTCATACTTTCTATCTTGTTAGAGCAGAACCTTTTAAAACCATAATGCTCATAACATGGTGTTCTGGTTAATGAGAACCTTTTCTTTTAATTTTATCCCATAGTATTGAAAATCTTAATATGCACTAGCCCATGTTGTTCTGTTTTAGAAATTGATAATGAACCTGACTTAATGAAATTATTCTTTTACAACTGAGACTCTTGCATTGTCTAGGATCTTTTTTTTTAAAACACGAATTTGTATTGTACAGTATGTGGGTGCAGGGTAACAGATTATAAACTATAAGAGTAAAAGAAAAATACCTAAATTTCCCTGATGACTTGGTTATTATTTGACCTATTTTCTGAAAGGAGAAGAGATATATTCCCTATTGAGATTCTGGTTATTCAAGGTTTAGTAATACTGAAATCATCGACTTTCAATCTGTTTCACAAAAACCAATTAAGGGGTCATAGGATATCTTCATAGTCTCAAATTTTAGTTCCTGGAAACATGTTAGGGACTAATTATTGTAATCTATGTTTTAAATTACATTTTTACAATATCAACAAAATTATCTTTGACAAAAAATCCTTGTTTAATTACTAATTCACTCAGAACTAAATAAAATATAAAGAGCAAGACATGAGAACAGTAGTATTTACACATTTTTAATATGTTTTGTTAATTTTCAATATTTTTTAATGAACTGATTACTTAAAAACACATTTTTATATTTATGTGCTTGATAATTTTCAATTTTTTGCTGCTTACTTTCTATTGGTTTTAGTGTTTGAAAACCAATGTTTCATGTGATTTAAAAGTTTGTATTTTCTATTTTGGTTTCAAAATCAAATAGAATATCTTCACTTAAAATGAGTATATTAATTATTTGTTTAAAAACCTTCAACACAAGACTTGAGGAGCCAACTGAGAGTATTCTTCTAGTGTGAGAATCATTACAAACATTCTCTGGGCAGCAAGCACTGACTGAGAAGCACAAACACTAATTTGAAAAATTCCACTATAAACAACTGCCAGTCACAATCTCATTTTAAAAGTAAGAATCTAAAATTTAAAGGGACTAAAGATTCTTTGTCAAATATAAGTAAATATAAAGTAAAATTTAGCAACTAAAGATAAATAGAACAACTTATAATTACAGTTATTTAACATTATAACCTAGAATACAAATTTGCTTATGTTTAAAATAAATTCCGTGACTTGAAGGAAGACTCATGTTTTCAGACCCTAATGGAGGAAGGTTTTACAACTGGGGTCCCCTCTCTATTCTGAATTCCCATGTTGTGAGGCCAGAGTAACTGAAGTTTTTATTATATTTTGCAATAATAAAATTATAACACTTTTGATAACTCTCTTTTTGATTCCCCCCGAATGGCAAAGATTTATCATTTCATACAATGAATCTTATCTAAAAGGAATTTATTACACAATTATGTGGAGAGAATTGAATTTATAAAGCTTATTTCTCTCCTTTCCAAATACTGTAAATGATTTTGATTTAAATTCTTCTTCTGGATTTAAACGGGACTAAAGTTGTTTTTCTGAGATGTTTAGCCTCAACACTTTGATTCCTGTGGGTAAAGAGGAAGATACGTGGAGCCGTTTTCCAAGCCAGATGGAGAAACTCCCTGTTTAGAGTTAAGTGTGCAAAAGTTGTGAGCAAGTTCAGCTATGGAAAGTCTTAAGTTTTAAAATCATAATTTTGGTTTTAGTGTAACCGGATTATTCAACATTCTCTACATTTGTTAAACTGTAGAGAGAGGGGGAAATAGTTAACACAACATCATCTTTATTCTTGATTATAATTTCATATACTTAAACTTTAAATATGAATTGCTTTCCCTTTTTACACAAGTTATAAAAATAAGAGGCCCTGTTTACACAGTTTGCATTTTTATGAAATTTGCAGTTTGAAAAAAAAGCTTTTTAAAAAGTGGTAATTAATGCTTTTCTTTGAATATGTTGTAACCTTAGAATTTTTTTCTGAAAGTTTCTGAATTTAACCCACTAAACATTTGAAGATAGAATTTTTATTTAGCACTAGAATAAAATATACTAAGAACTGAAGAAAAGAAAGTTTTTTCTGGTTCCACTTAATTTTCTTTGTATGTGGCACCCCCTTTGTGATAGCTATCAATATTATATTTAAATTTTATATATTGACAAAATTCAATCTACCTCTGTAAGCACTGTGCCATTCAACAGTATTACTATTAAATTTACATACCACAGTTGAAATTACATCCATTTCAGGAATGTTAAAATGCTAAAACTCAAGTGTCTAACTGCCTTACTGGAATGAGTACAATTTACAAATACAATAATTACATTTTAAAACCATAACAATATTACACCTAGAAGTAAATACTGTAGGACTGGTCATCATAGTATTGTGTGAGGGAAATCACTGCTGAAAAGTTACGGACATTTCCAGCAGATTTATCCCAAGTGCAGATTTTGACTTGTTTTCATCAAATCAAAACTGAAACCTGTTTCTCATACAACAGTTCTCCATTATATGAATCCTCCAAATCCTTGCATAATATTTTATTAGTTATCTGCCAAGTATTTCCCTGCAAGACAAAACAACATATAAACAGGTTACCTACTAGTCCAATAATGTGCTTATTATACTGCTAACATTTCTATTCCTCCTGCCTTACCCATAGGAGCCAAATACTGCATGCTTGAGGGGTGCGTTACTAATATAAGACACGTCGCATTCTTTACGTTTTTAATTTTCCAGAGCAGCTAGTTGCCTTTTCACATTTCCATATATAAACATTTCTGCAGAGGTTTGGGTTTTGCCCACAATAGGTTGGGAGATTTGTCCCTGGATGTGAGAATCCAGCTTACTACAGGAAGAGTGGCCATATAATGACCCTCCAACCTGGGTTGTTTCTGCAAGTGAAAGGGGTATAATTCGTAATTATATCAGTACAGCAGGCATAAAAACCAGGACTATCCCAATAAGTCATTGACAAGTATGATCACCCTAGTACTGGGGAATCCCCTGCCAACAAATGATCTCAAGTGCCCAAAATCTGTCTCATGGTCACGTCACCTCATGGGCAACAAGGTCTGATCTCTGAGCTAGATTCAATGAGGTTGCTAATGAAGAGAGAGATGGATCCTCTTAAATCTCAACTAAGCCTGACAAGTCTATAATCTATGAAGCCCTATTGATGAAAAGAAGTTTCCACTCAAGAGGTAAATTCTAAGGCAAATAACATTTCCCTTGCTTGTCAATATAACATAAGTAGGATTATTTCATTAACCTCAGTGTACACATCTGTATAATGGGAATGACTGCTCAGCCCCACATAAGAAACAGAGCCAGAGCCATGATAAGTAGCCAGGGTTTTTCTAATGTCTAATTTCCAGTCAACAGTCCTAGTTTTTCTTAATCAATAATTGGTTTGCTTTCTAAATGATATGGGAAGTGAGGGTTGGGAGTGGGGAAGAGGAGTAGAAAAAAGATAAGGAAATCACAACCTATTCTTTCATAAGAAGAGTGGCTAAAGCAACACTATTTTTGCAAATGAAACTCACAAGATACACACTTACCTGCAGCAAACCTTTTTTTGATGAGTGAAAATCGATAGCCTGCTCCAACAAGTTCAATGTCACAGCCAGAAAGGGTGCTTCCTTCACTTGTAAACTGCACAACCAGTGGAGAAGGTTTGCTTGGGCCTTCAGATAACTGAAATCTTGCCAATAAAGAACCCACACCTGTAAAAAGAGTATTGTGTATTGCAAGATAACAGTCAACACAACATTCTGGATATAATTTAATTATATTAAAAATTAAATATACAAAATCAAACTTATTAGAAAATAGTATACGTTTTAGTGACAAAATGGTGATAAATATGATTTATCATTAAATATTATGAGCAACTTTTTGTATGCAGATTTAAGTGTAATTCAGCCAAATGGTACTTCCAAATTTGGAAGTATGCTACTTGGAAGGCAATGTATTCTGCAACCTATAATTGAAAGCAGAGGAAAGTAAAACATATCTAAACTACCAGGGAGTGTGAGATCTGATACCGAGTGGACACATGCCTCATTAAAAGCTTTTCTTTGCTGAATATATGGCCTGTTTGATGTGGGGTCTTGGGCAGAAAAGGGGAAGCAGAAGATTCATTGAAGAATTACTTGCTTTTATTGGTTGAAATACATATATACCAAAATGAAGTATTTTGTTTGCTTTTAGTGCTAAAGTGTATTTTGGTTAATAGTTGCCTGACATCTGCAAGTTATTTTAGCCTTAGATATTAAATAAAGTAAGCCTGTGATTACATTACCTCCATTTTCTGACTTCTGAGAAATATCAGGAATTTTCCACAATATTCTTTGTTGTTCAGCATTCCTAAAAATAAAATAGGTAAAAGACTTTTGCATATGCAAGGTTTTTGTTTAATGGATGCCCTATTTTTCCCAGAATGTTAATAAAAAAAGGATTTTAAAAATTCTAGCTATAATTTAAGTATTATCTATTTGTCCATCCATCTATCATACATATATACATGCATCCACACGGAAATCCTCTCCTTTCCTGTTCCTATTGTCACCAGCCACAGCACTGTCAAAGGACAATGCAGATAAAATGTTCAAACATATCTACTGAAAAAACAGATGGAAAGGGTTCATCAGTTAGTCCAGGTCATTTAAGTTGGAACTGTCATATGGCTGACATTCATTGTCTTTTAATGTTCTATTTTTTGTTTTTGACAATCATATGGAAAACCCAGAGCATATTTCTAGGAGAGTAAGTCCTTTCTAGCAGCTGCTATTGGTACGCAGAGTCTATTCAGTTTCTGTCCCCATACCTCGTGTAGTGTGCCATTTTGTAGTCGAGGCTACAAAACAAAACCCTACATGTCCCAGACTCCCCTGTAGTTAGGGCCTGGGTGTAGATTAGACTTCACCAGTTACGTGCACTGAGATCTGGAGAACAGAAAGGAGACAGGTCATTCTCCTGCTGCTTTCTTCACTGTTTTCTGCTGCCAGCAACCTAACTGAGACATGGGATCTTCTATCCGCAGGGCTCCAGTCCATTCTCAGTTCTGTGGGTGTTGAAAAGCAGTTAAGGCTGTGCCTGTAGTAGCTTTCTTATCCTTGAGTCAGAGTGACAGTGGGGGGTTCTTGAAGTCACTGGCTTCACTGGCAGCCTTCTAGTTTTCCTTCTTGGTTATGGTGGAGGTAAGCAGCTCCTCTGGCCGACCAGTTCTACCATCTTCTGGGAAATATTCCCGGAGATCCAGCCTAAAGCTTGTTTTTCTGGCACTTCCACCATGCACATGTGAGCATCTAAATCCCTGTGTCAAACCATTTTCTGCTTAAAATAGCTTCAGGGGTTTCAGTTTCCTTCCCTGCACCCTGACACACAGGCCTGCTGTGATCACCAGTAAAGAAACGCCCTGGCCAGGTTGGCTCAGCGGTTAGAGCATCAGCCTGCAGATCAGGGAGTCCCGGGTTCAATTCCCGCTAAGGGCACGTACCTCAGTTGCAGTTTGTCCCCGGCCCCAGTTGGGGTCATGTGGGTGGCAATCAGTGTCTCTCTCACGTCGATGTTTCTCTCTCTCTCTTCACCCTTCTCTCCCTTCTGCTTTATCTGAAGATAAATGCAAAAATGTCCTCGGGTGAGGATTTAAAAAAAGAAACACAAATGCTGAGAAGTCTGTGATCCCTTTGCCCAGAGGAGCTCTTTGGGGAAGTGGAGGGAGGTTGGGGCTCCTTACCAAACTGCTGGGGGAAGCACAGCCTGGAGCTTGGTTACTCCTCCATCTATGGGGACCAGGAACTGCACATTGTTGAGGGCCACAGCGGTTGTCATGGCATCTGTATTGTATTTGTAGTCGATGCGCAGGTCAGTGCTAGTGGGCTCACACCGCCAGTTCACTGCCAGGTTCAGAGGTGTGGACTGAAGGCCCTGGGCAGACACCTTACCAAACGACAGGAAAGAGAATATTTAAGGCTTGGCCACTGATCTGAAACAAACCAGAAGCTATGATTACCTCCCATAGGAATGTTCTTAGATATCAAAACATCATTGCGTTGTTTGTGCTGCTCACAAATGAGCTCTCAGTGAAAATCACCATGAAGGTGCCCTGTGAGAGAGAGCTGGTGCTTCGGGGAAACTTACAGATTAGAAAATGAAGTCAAGTACTGAAATTTCTACAGCACTTTAGACTAGAATGCACTTTATGTCAGTTAAGGAGGTGGTAGAGCACTGGTTAGGAGCCGAGGCCAAGGGTCACACAGGTCTTTCTGATTGTCACAAGCTGAGTGACCTTGGACCAGTTACTAAACTTCTCTGAGCCTCAGTTATTTCTTCATTGGCCAAATGGAATTATAACAATAATATGTATCCACAGAGTTGTCAGGCAGATTGAAGGAGACATTATGTAAAACACTCATCAAAGTGCCTGGCACACAGTCAGGGACTAGTGTTTTAATTCATGTTACCTAATATTATTCTTATCATATTTGCCCTTCACAACAAACCAGTGAGTTAGACAAAGCAGGCTATTGTTACTCCTTTGGGATTTGTCAAAGTAAAGACTTGATCCCAGGTCCTCTAATTAGAAGTGCAGCATTCAGCCGTCTACTGTCAATTCTACTGAGAATCAACTTGAGTTTGGTCAAGGAAAAACCAGGCTTGAAGAATCAACAAATATTTATTATATTTAAAGCCAATAATATCAACTTGAGTTTTAGGTCTACAATGAAAAAAATCACAATGCTATTATTCCCTGATTGTTCACCATAAGGATGAATAGCTCTAGAAGATTCTCCTTTTCCAAGTACACCACACTGCAGGGGCCATATGGGTGGTGTCTATGCCCTTGCAGTTTCATTCATGGAGCGTGAGTTTTGCTAATTTTGAAGAATATAAACAGCTCTCTATTGGCCTAGCAATGTCTGCACATATGGAAATTCGGGGGGAAGGGGCCTGAGGGCAGGTAGAACTCACAAGGCAGGAGTGGCTGCTGCAGAAACGAACTCAGAAATGTGTTGTTGTTTTCAAAATAAAATGACAGACACGGCTTTGGAGGACAATTTTAGATAGACAATCATTCTAATGTGGTTTTTTTTAATATTAAATATTTTTAACATCACAATCCTCTGCAAATGAACTTTAATTTAGAAACCAATTATTTAACACAAATCAAACAGGGCCGTCTCCTGCTGTTTCTGCACACTGTCCTCAGCAGCAGCTCACGCCTTGATAGTATTGTTCTATTCAGCAAGGTGCTTTGTGGCTACCTGAGGGTATGTTTTTGATTGTCCCTATTACTGAGGGTTGCTACTGGTGACCAGAAACTAAACATGCTGCAATTTGAGGGCAAGCCCACAAAAAATGCTGGTTGTGCCTCCCACCCAATTTTGCATAGTTGAAAACACCACCACAACTCGATGAGAGAAATTCCTCAGAACACACTTTAACACAGAACAACAGTCCTAGGGTCACTTACATTTTCCAAAATACTTTGAAATATATTAAGACTATTACCTCCTCACAACAACCTATAAAATATCTAGGTAGGAATCATCATTATCTTTAATGGCAGATGAGGAAACTGAAGTTCAGGGAGATGAATTGCCCAAGGTCAGTGGCCAGTAGGAAGATAACTTAATTCCAGAATTCAGTCTCTTGCCAACACTTTAATATTCATGCACCAAGCTCATATGCAATAGGTGAATTCTTTCTGTTTTCTAGGTTCACTTAATGACAAATATGGAGACTATATAAATCTCACAAGACTTAAAATTTCAAAAAACAATTTTAATCTAAATTGAAAATGTAGATGCATGACTTGTAATGAAAGTCCATGAAAGAAAACAACTACAGTTTAGTTTTACCCTTTTGGGCATAAGAACCATGCCTGTGCTCCGGAATTTGATTTCTTATTCAGGGAAAATTATATTGGAGATCCTTTTTCTTAACTCCATTTCATTTCTCTCAGAAGCTTAAGGCAATCACTAATTGTGTTTAAATGTTTTGTAAAAAAAGTTAAATAAAAATGTATTTTAGATTATCTTTTAATTATAAAAATGATGAATTTCTGCCATTATCATGTGTTTGTCTAATATTATTGATAATAAGCTTAGATAATCCTATTCTTATGGGAAAAATATTATATTCCTTTGCAGTTTTGTTAAATGCACCATCATATAGATAGCTTCACTTTCAATGGTTTCCTTATGATATAAATGAGTAGTTTTCAACCTGTAGTGTATATTATAATCACTTGAAAATCTGTAATAAATACAGATATCTGGGTCATACCCTGAACCAATTAAGTTAAAATCTCTGAGAGTTTCAGGGCCCAGCAGAAGTCTATGTCTGTGTCTGTGTCTGTGTCTGTGTCTGTGTCTGTGTGTGTGTGTGTGTATGTGTCTGTCTGTCTGTCTATATGTCTATTTCTATATTGAAAGGGTTAATAACATTTTAAAGGGTAAAGGTAAAAGCTTGCAAAAGGCGGAAACTGAAAAAAATGCATGAAAAATGCATTGCTTGCATGACTTTTGCTCAGCCTTCTGTTAAGTACAGATTGCCCCCAAGGCCAGAAACCACCCAGCAGATGTGGGATGTGATACCAGACCAGTCCAATTACAAAGTGGACAATGGCCATGCAGAGTATGTCAGCAGGAACTGCCGGAAATTAGAAGCAGAGTATATATAATCTACACCTCAACTGTTATTGGGGGCTGACTCCCTTCTTGGACTCAGCCCACCTGCACCCAGGTGCTTGCAATAAAGTTGTTTTGCTCTACATTGGTTTTGCGTTGCAGATGTGAGCTTCTGCAGGCTCAGACCTTTTATATATCTATCTATAAATAGATTTTAATATAGATTTATATTTCTATATAATTAGCACAAGTTCAGAACCACTATTTACTTATAACTTCTCTGGTGATTATAGAGTCATGTTTAAAATGCACTGATTTCTATTAAAGTACATTTTTTAAAAATATTTTTTTCCTCCTCTTAAGAAAAATAATGTGAACATATTTAATCACAAAAATTACAATGCATTAAAAATAACTTAGATGATCAAGTGGCTGGAAATCAGTAGGATACTCAGGCTGTACAGAATCCTGGTTTGAAACAGGTTTATTTACTAGGTCAATAATAATTTGGGATGAGGGCAATCTTAGACAAAGAAAGAAAGTTCTCTTATACTATATTGTATTGTGCCAGCTAGTCTTTTAACATTAAATTATTTCTTACCATAAGTTTTACTAGAATTTATTTTGTAGGACTACCACATGAAAAAAAACACCAGATTACTTATACTTCATAATTTAAAATAAGAGGTTTTAGTAATGTTCTTAACAAAATTACAGTGAACAAGTTTATCAATATTTATAATCTTAACTGATGTAATTTTTTGCAACTTTATTTTGTGGCATGTTTCTCTAATTTTTAAATAAAATATTTTACTTATAAGTTTAAACTAAGAATATGTATGAATATTCTTGTCACTAAGTCTGCAACTAATCTTTTAAAATTTCTCTTTTCTTATAAATTATATATTTTAAATAATATTGAAAGAAGTGTTACTTTATTTACTTTTTTTAATGTTAGGAATGTTAAAATATACATTTGTAATGCGAAAGCAACACCCTGATCATATAAATAGGCTTACCTGATATTTAAGCATGTCCACATTATAATATGTAGCCTGGGGTTTTTGTTCAGATACTTTCTTTAGATGAGTCATCAAATTTGGCATGTTTACCCAGAATTCCTTGGTATTGGCATCATTTTGGGTATTATCGCTGTTCAATTGGGAAGAAAAAATGATTGAATATCATCTTGTAACAAATATAAATGACACAAAGAAGCATCTTAGCAAATCATTGTCTGATTTCTTCACCCACCTTTGACAATCTGTAGAGACTGTAATATGAACAGTAATATGGTTTTAATTCAACTGCAATTCTGAATGGTATTAATAGACTAATACCCATAGGGAGGCCTTATTGTATTGCTATAAATATCAGTGAGAACTCAGTAGTATTAACCAATCATTATGATAATTGGTTGCTTTAAAGAGTGAATTATTTATTAATCCAAACTTAATAGCTCTTTCTACATCACCACAGTTTCCTCTGACTTAGTCAGTTAATGCAATCAAAGAGCTGAGTACATTGATTTTCTTTTGAATTGATTTGAACAGTAGTTTCTCAGAAATTACCATGTTAAATATTTGGCCAAATGTCTTTGTCTCCAACTGAGGAGAAAAGGGTGACAATAAGATTACCATGCTTCCTTTTTAGCTTTCATAATATTTCACTGAAGAGCATCTAAATCATAAAAATGTCACTTTTTTTACAAGATGATCCTAGAATGTAAATGATAATGACCATGGTAGTCACAATAGACAAGCACAGGGTTGATAAACTAAGGAGTTTTGTATTCTTATGAGAAGCATTAGCTTTGCTCAGGGGCCTGTTCACAGCTCACTCACCCAATGTATCTTGAAAATGCTTGTCTCAATGACAAAAAATGTCACATAGAGTGTCAAAAGCACCTGCTCACTTCCCACATAATGAGGAAACTGACTCAAATGAATTAGTAACTGATTACACAACTCAAATTTAATGACATTTCATTTTCAGAGTATCCTACATAACACAGTAACAGTAGCTATAATTTTTTGAGCACGTATTATGTGCTAGGCTCTGTTAGGTATCTTAAAAACATTTCATTAAAATCTTTCTGCAAAGGAATAATTATATTCCTTTTTAAAGATGAGCAAATATTATAAAAAGATAAAATTAGAAGTTAAGAAGACAGATGGGTTGTATTGATAATGTGATAAAGGCAGGTCAAAAGTAAGCTGCTATAATTCAACCTCCAGAGGTCTAACAAATCAAAAGAGACGAGTCAAAAAACATCAGGGCCTCGGGAACCAGAGTCCTGGGTTCAGTTCCTGCTAAGGGCATGTATCTTGGTTGCAGTTTGTCCCTGGCCCTGGTTGGGGTCGTGTGGGTGGCAGCCACTTGATGTGTCTCTCTCACATCGATGTTTCTCTCCCTCTCACTTCCTCTCTTCCTCCTGCTCTACCTGAAGATAAATGCAAAAAAAAAATGTCCTCAGGTGAGGATAAAACAACAAAAACATCAGGGCCTTAAAATTGCTACTGGTCTGTTGGGAGGGAGTAACTGTGGAGGCCAAGTCTCAGTATGACGAATGTGGTTCTGGTGGGGCCTGGTCTAGGTTGTTGAGGACACAGTCAAGGTATATGACTTGGGAATGTAGGAAGAGAATGCAAAAGAATCCTGGCCCCTGAGACTTTGCCTCTAGTCAAGCTGAGCTAAAGATGCTGATATGGACTGTCTAAACTTTTATTATCTAAAAGCATACAAGTTATCCAGCGTTTCTAGAGCCGTAGCTATGCAAGGAAGTAGGGGATAAGATTAATAGAGGGTCAGCAAAATTAAGTAATTTGCTTACGTTTGAATAGCTAATAAGTAATGGAGTCAGGATTCCAGCTCAGGTCAGTGTCACTGCAGGTCATACTTTCACATTATACCACAGCAGAGGTACAGAATTAATATCCAGCAATGTGTTATTAATTTGAACTAAATAGATCTGACTCATTGGGAAATTTTCAATTATGCTATTTGTTAAAGAAATGCATTCACTAAGTTTAATAACAAAATGAGTCACACGTCCAGAGAAATTGATTTAATAAACGTTCAAGAAAACTTTGCCAATCAAATGCTTACACAGAGATGCCATTCTCTTTTTATTTTTTTAAATTTTATTAATTTATTTTTGTTATAGATGTTTCTCCTTTTTTCCCCATTGACACCCTCTTCCCCATAACCCCCACCCCAATCCCAGCTTTGTTGTCTGTGCCCATCGGTTATGCATACATGCTTATAAGTTCTGTGGTTTATCTCTTCCCTCCCTCCCCACCCCCTCTCCTGAAGGTTGTCAGTCTGTACCCTACTTCCATGTCTCTGGTTCTACCCGGTTTCTCAGACTGTTATGTTCATTATATTCCACAAATAAGTGAGATCATGTGACATTTGTCTTTCTCTGCTTGGCTTGTTTCACTTAGGATAATACTCTCCAGGTCCCTCCATGTCACCTTTCTTTCTTACAGCTGCATAGTACTCCATTGTGTATGTGTACCACTGCTTTTTTATCCATTCATCTACTGATAAACACTTGGGCTGTTTCCAGATCTTAGCTATTGTAAATAGAGCTGCGATGAACATGGGGGTACATATATTCTTTCTGATTGGTGTTTCAGGCTTCTTAGGGTATATTCCTAGAAGTGAGATCACTGGGTCAAACGGCAATTCAATTTTTAATTTTTTGAGGTAACACAATAGTGTAACACCATAGTGTTTTCCATAGTACCTGCACCAGTCTGCATTCCCACCAGCAGTGTACTACAGTCCCCTTTTCTCCACATCCTTGCCAACATTTGCTATTTGATGATTTGTTTATGGCAGCCATTCTGACAGGTGTGAGGTGATACCTCATTGTTGCTTTAATTTGCATCTCTCTGATGATTAGTGATGTTGAGCATTTATTCATATGTCTCTTGGCCATTTGTATGTCCTGTTTGGAGAAGTGTCTATTTAGCTCCTCTGCCCATTTTTTAATTGGGTTCTTTGTCTTCCTTTTGTTGAGTTGTATGATCTATAGATTTTGGAAATTAACCCCTTTTCTGGTGTATCATTGGCAATTATGCTCTCCCATACAGTGGGTTGCCTTTCCATTTTGATAGTTGTTTCTTTTGCTGTGCAGAAGCTTTTTAATTTGACGTAGTCCCATGTGTTCATTTTTTCCTTTGTTCTTGTTACCTTAGGTGATGTTATCAGTGAAAATTCTGCTGTGTATGATGTCCAAAATTTTGTTGCCTACATTTTCTTCTAGGGTTTTTATAGATTCATGGGTCACATTTAAGTCTTTTATCCATTTCGAGTTTATTTTTGTGTATGGTGTAAGTTGATGGTCTAGTTTCATTTTTTTTGCACGTAGCTGTCCAATTTTCCCAACACCATTTATTAAAGAGGCTATCTTTACTCCATTGTATGCTCTTGCCACCTTTGTCAAATATTAATTGAGTATAATGTCTTGGGTTCATTTCTGGGTTCTCTGTTCTGTTCCACTGGTCTATTTGCCTGTTCTTGTGCCAGTACCAGGTTGTTTTGATTATGGTAGCTTTGTAATATAGCTTGATATCCGGTATTGTGATCCCTACTTTGTCCTTCTTTTTCAAGATTGCTGTGGCTATTCTAGGTCTTTTTTGGTTCCATATGAACTTTTGAACTATTTATTCTAGTTCTGTGAAGTATGTCGTTTGTATTTTGATGGGGATTGAGTTGAATCTACAGATTGCTTTGGGTAATACAGACATTTTAATGATGTTAATTCTTCCAATCCATGAACAAGGTATGTGCTTCCACTTTTTAATATATTCCTCTATTTCTTTTTTTAATGTCCTGTAGTTTTCTACAAGTAGGTCCTTTACTTCTTTGGTTAAGTTTATTCCTAGGTATCGTAATTTTTTTGCTGTGATGGTAAATAGGATTTTTTTTTTTTTTTTTTTAGTTTCTCTTTCTGTGAGTTCATGATTGGTGTATAAGAGTGCCGTCAATTTCTTGATGTTAATTTTGTATCCTGCTACTTTGCCAAATGCATTTATTAAATCTAGCAGATTTTTGATGGAGTCTTTAGGGTTTTCTATGTATAATATCATGTCATCTGCAAATAATGACAGTTTCACTTCCTCCTTTCCAATTTGGATCCCTTTTATTTTTTCTTCCTGTCTGATTGCTGTGGCTAAGACTTCCAGTACTATGTTAAATAAGAGTGGCGAAAGTGGGCATCCCTGTCTTGTTCCTGTTCTTCAGGGAAATGCTTTTAGTTTTTGCCCATTGAGTATGATGTTGGCTGTAGGTCTTTCATATATGGCCTTTATTATGTCAAGATATGATCCCTCTATTCCCACATTGCTGAGCATTTTTATCAGAAATGGGTGCTGGATTTTGTTGAATCCAGCATCTATTGATATAATCATGTGGTTTTTATGCTTCATTTTGATTATGTGGTGTATCACATTTATTGACTTGTGAATATTGTACCAGCCATGCATCTCTGGGGTGAATCCCGCTTGGTCATGGTGAATAATTTTTTTCATGTATTGCTGGATCCAATTTGCTAGTATTTTGGCATCTATGTTCATCAGGGATATTGGCTGTAGTTTTCTTTCTTTGTAGTGTCTTTTTCTGGTTTTGGAATCAGAATTATGCTGGCCTCATAAAACGACTTTGGAAGTCTTCCTTCTTCTTGAATTTTTTGAGGAGAATGGATGTTACTTCTTTGAATGTTCGGTAAAATTCCCCCGTGAAGCCATCCGGGCCTGGGCTTTTGTTTGCTGGGAGTCTCGATTACCTCTTCAATTTACTTAGTTGTTATTGGTCTGTTCAAGTTTTCTATCTCTTCCCAGTCCAGTTTTAGGAGACCATGTGTTTCTAGAAATTTGTCCATTTCTCTTAGATTGTCAAATTTGTTGCCATATAATTGTTCATAGTATTTAATGATCCTTTGTATTTCTGTGGTCGGTTGTTACTTCTTCTCTTTCATTTCTGATTTTGTGTATTTGGGTTCTCTCTCTTTGTTTCTTGCTGAGTCTAGCTAAAGATCCATCAATCTGGTTTATCTTTTCGAAAAACCAGTTCTTTGTTTCATTGATCCTTTGAATTGTTCTTTTTGGTCTCTATGCCATTTATTTCTGCTCTGATCTTTACTA